TCGTCTCGCGCTACCGCCAAATTTATCTCAAGTGCACAATGTGTTCCACGTGTCTATGCTAAAGAAGTATGAATCGGATCCGACCCACGTGCTAAATTACGAAGAAATAGAAGTGGACGACAAGTGTCGTATGTGAAAAAACCAGTAAGGATTGAGGACAGAATGGAACAAGTGCTGCGGAACAAGACAATTCCGATGGTCAAAGTAATTTGGGAACACCATGGAACTGAAGGTGCGACGTGGGAAAGCGAGGAGTTGATGTAACATCAATATCCCCATTTGTTCGAATAGTTGGGTTGGATTGTAAATTTCGAGGACGAAATTTTTGTAAGAGGGGAAGAGTTGCGACATTTCGAATTTCAACCCATTTTTGGGATTTATAAAACATGTATTTCGTCAATGCGCTTATAATAAAATCTCGCCCGAAACTAATCACTCTTGGGTTATTTTTAAATTAGAGATTTCGCTAGAATCGCACTCGATCGAATTTGGCCGTTATTTATAGCCCGAACTTTGGTGTCGAATTTTTGAGAGTTTCGTGATGAATTTAATTGGACGGTATCGATATTATTGTAGCCAGCGTCGATATTGCCTGGGATAAGTGAAAAGTGAAATTTTGACCGGGTGCGGATTTGGACTAGTAGACCACCCTCGTAGTGTGTTTTAATTAATATCTTTTGGCCTTTTCCTAATTTATTAATAAGGATTTTCATGGACCGTTGGATCGGTTTCGGGTTTGAACGAGGACCGTCGGATCGCACTTGAGTGCGTTGACTTTTGTTCCCCCTCTCTCTCTCCTTTCTCTACCGCGTCCCTTCCCCACTACGCACGTCCGTTCTCCTCTTTCCCCATGCACGTCCCCTCCCTCCCTCTCTCTTCCTTTTTCTTTCTTTTCTTTCTTCTTTCTCCTTCTTCTCTTCTTCTTCTTCTTCTCTTCCATTGCGCCACTGCCTCTGCTCCTCTTCTTATGCTCGCCCGACCAGCCACCACCGCCACCTCCGCCACTCGCCCAGCCACCGGACGCCGTCGCCATTGCCGGCTCGCTCGCCCAGCAGCTATTCACCGCGAGCCTACCACTTACTCGTAGCTCGCCAGGCCGAGCCTGTCGCCGCCGCGTCCACCGCGGCCAGGCTCAGCCCAATCACCGGCCACCTCGTCCGGCCTCGCTCGTGCCACCCCGATCGCCGCCGTGCCACCCCGACCGCCGCCGGTTCGCCTCCTCAGCCCCCAGCTCCCCCTCTCTCTCGCCATTACCGCCCCAGCCTTCCTCCCCCTCCCCTCCGTGCTATTGTCGTCGCTGCCGACGCCGCAGCCGCCGCTCGTCGTGCCGCCTAGACTAGCCGACTACCAGCCCGTCAGCACCAAAGCCACTCGCCCAAAGACGCCCAAACCACCGCTGCCCGGCCGTGACCGAGCCATTGCCTGAGCCCAGTCGCTCGCCCAAGTCGTGGCCGGACTGACCAGGCCGTGGTCGAGTCGCCCAGTCGCTCGCCCAGCCTGTTGCCCGCGCGTCCTGGCCGCTTGCCCGCTGCCTTGTCCGTGGCCGAGTCGCCTAGGCCGTTGCCCGCCCGAGGCTGAGCGCCGTGCCGAGCGCCCCGGCCATGGCCGAGAGCCTTGCCGGCCACCGTGCTCGTCGCGTCCTCGCCCACGCCGAGTCGCCATTGTTCACCCGAGCCATTTTGGGTTCGTGCCGATTTTTCCCGAGCCAAATTTAGGTAAGTGACTTCTTAAACCCTATCTAGTATAATGGGTATCATTTAGACTTGTTTAGGATGTGATTAGTACCGATTTAGTGGCTAAGCTCGGATTAGGATCAATATGTGAATGTGGTTAATTTGTAGATTAAATTGTGGTGATTATGTGGCATAATTAGTGGTTGATTTATGTAGGTGCGATGACCGAATTGTCGTGGCGTTTGTGGATGAAATTGACGTTTGATTGGACCGACTTGAGTGTTGGATTGGTGGGCTAGTGTGGTGAATTTGTGATTTGAATGGGATTTGTACGACGTGTTAGAATGGCGAATCGTGCTATGATGCATGTGCATGAGGAATGTCTTGAGGCGTGGTTACGCGAGACTAAGCCTGGATTGATCGGAGGGCTGCCAACCTAAGGCGTGGTTACGCAAGTGTAGCTAGAAAGGCAAGAAATGACCTGAGGCGTGGTTACACGGGTCGAGAGAAATGTCTTGAGGTGTGGTTACGCGAGACTGAGCCCGGATTGATCGGAAGGCTGCCAACCTGAAGCATGGTTACGCGGGTGTGGCTAGAAAGGCAAGAAATGACCTGAGGCGTGGTTACGCCGATCGAAAGAAATGTCCTGAGGCGTGGTTACGCCAATCGAAAGAAATGTCCTGAGGCGTGGTTATGTAGGACTGAGCCCGGATAGATCGGAGGGCTGACCTGAGGCATGTTTACGCGGGTCGTGAAAAAGTGTGAAATGTCTAGTGAGGGACGGAACCCGGATTGATCGGAGAGTTGACCTGAGGCATGTTGATGCGGGTCATGGAAAGTTGCTCTGCCACGGATGCGAAATGAGTGTGATTGAATTGAGTGAATGTACGTGTGTATGGCGCTCGAATGATGGCAATGTGTTCATGAGTTATTATGATATTCATGTGATTTGACTAATGTGCAGAGCTGGCGTGTGAATCGTGGCGAGGTAAGTGTGTATTGGCAAGTTTGTCATATCGGTGGTTAGATTGCATGTTAGACTCGTTTGGGTATACATTGGCCTAGGTGGGGTAGGTTGTCTACTTATTGAGATTTATTCCCATTGCTGTAACGTAAACCATTTCAGACCCCCGACCCCGACCATGAGTGATTTGCCCGAATGTTTTGTGATCCCGAGGCATACTAAGCACTCGGCGATGGAGTACCCCGTAGGGAACGGGGAGGCCTATGTGAAGCATACCACGGTGGTGTGGGTAGATGTGGGTAAACTGGAGTTGCAGCCCAATACATACCGGGCATACTGTTATCGGGATTTATACGGAGTCTGTGGACCGCTCCGGCATTTTGATGTCCTGTTTAATGGGGAAGGTGAGTGAGACCCCTCAGCTATCCTTGCCCCCGATGGTGAGGTTTTGGACGCCGGAGATGCCCTGGTAAACCCTAGTCCTGAACTGGAGCCCGAACTCGAACTTGTGGCCCCTGCAGACCTCGAGCTTGAAAAAGAGTTTGAGGAGTCCGAACCCGAGCTCGAGGAGGAACCCATGGAGCCCAAGATCGAGGAAGAATTAGAAGAACCATATCCCGAGTCCGAGCCTGAGGAGGAGCCTATGGTGTCGGAGCACGAGGAGGAGCCTATGGTGTTCGAGCACGAGGAGGAGCCGATCGAAACCGACTCAGACACGGAGTCGGAGCCTTCAGGATTCAATTCAGATTGGGCACCATAGGAGGATTTGGGTGCTGGGGCCTTGAAGCATTTTGGTAGGGCCCTTTTTGTGTATTCCGTAGTCTACCCGGCCACCTATCCATTTTTTATGACGAAGGTGGATACTAACCCTAGAAGCCTAATGTATGAATTTTATGGTCTCAAGCTAATGTTATGGGTCTATTGATTTTCTTCGAGTACTACCTTGTTGTCATTGTTTATTGTCTGGGATGTTTAATTTTCGCTTCCGCTTGCGTTTGTCTTCGCGTGCTTCGTTTGGGTCGGCGACGCGTCCTAAGACGTCACGTTTAATACTGCCATCGAAGAGGTGTCGCGAGCCCGTTGGGGTTCGGGGCGTGACACTCTCCGTCTCTTTCTCCTTTGGTTTCTATTGAAGCTTCACTACTTCTCCTCCGTAGCTTTGTGGCTCAAAGTGGCGAAAGAGTCAAAGCACTATACGTTTCGGAATCACGAAGGTGAATGATCATGTTTTCTTTCTTACTAGATTTGGCATTCGCTGTCTTGAAACATTGTGTTTGCAGTTATGTTCGGAGCAAGAGTTGAGATTGAGAAGTTCAATAGAAAAAATAACTTGAGTTGTGGAGCATTAAGATGCTAAATCTTTTTGGCGAAGGCATTGGATCGCAAGGATAAATTGCTAAAAACGATGAAATAGCCGATGGAGTTGATAAAGAAGGCAAAAGTATAATCCCGTTGAATCTATCAAATGAGATATTGGATTAAGGTGACCGAAGAGAATGATGATACAATGTTGTGGACAAACAATCGCTTGGATATGTTGAAAATGATGTTTCAAATTGATCTTGGTTCATTGAGTTCATTAAATAGTTCCTATAGTATCAAATTAATTTTTCCAAACACTAGTCCCTAGCCTCGATCGAGTTCGAAGATGAGGCCTACGCTTTTATCTTAGACAGATTCTGGACATGATCTATCTTGCTGTTGTGCGTATGCACTTATAGATGTGGATGGTTCTTGCGGTAAATGTGTGCTGTGTTTTTTTCGATAATATATTAACTTAGTAACGATTATGGTATCATTGCACCTCTAGTTATGCCCATAATACTAATGTCTCTATGGAGAGCTATTAAGCTCCAAAGTTTACTCACAAAAAAATGAGATAATGTCAAAATTGCTGCCATACGGGTTTTGCATATTATCTTTTCTCCTTGAGATTGAAATTGAAATTTTCACCTTCAAATAAGGTGACGATGCTTCTTTTTGGGATAAGAAATAAGGTGAGGATGTTGGAATGCAAATAGTTGTGCGTTTTTTGTGCATCTGACATGTTAAAAATAGTAAGTTATTATTATTTTGGACTTATCAACTCATCCTTTTTCTAGCTCCAAGGCATTGATTGGTTTGGCTTTCGGTCACGTGCAGCTATGCACTTGTGACGCCCCAAAACGTCACGTGTGACACGTGTCCTTTCTAATTATATTCTTTATTCAGTAATAGCATGCAGAAGTTCAATAAAAATTTTCCTCAACAAAATTCCGTACAAGAAAATCGCACGAGTTAAATATGGATATTATCCTTATTTATATTAAATACCAGTTTTAGAACTTTGGCAATCAATCAAGCAAAATATAAAATACACAAGTCCTGGGAAGAGGGTCGGGTCAATTAGCGCCACTACTCCCACATTAATCCAAAAGCAAACCATCATCCAATTCAGGGGTTGATGGTCTCAGTCATAATCCGTCCCCTTCGTTGTCATGTCCAGGGGAAACATTCTATAAAAAGAAAATTAAAGGAATGAGTTGAAGCCCAGTAAATGAAATCTCTAGTTTTAAGTTAGGAAAATCATCTTACCACTTCACCTAGTACAAAGAACACACATGTATAACAACTAGTAAGTATGCTGAAAATATGAATAAGTGCTACACCTTTCCCATCTGGATATGCCACAATAATCCAATCACCTCACAATATTTCAATTTAGACACAAGCATATAGCATAACATATTACACTCATATTTATACGTCAAGTTCATTACTTCTCCTCTCGAAGTCTCCTAGGACATCCCGACACATGGGGCCTCTCGTACCACACAGTGGAGCATCCTGTACCATACAGTAGGGCATCTCGAAACTTCGGAAGCATCCCGACACACGAGGCATCCTGTACCACACAGCCGGCCATTCTGAAACTTGGGGCATCGTCACCTTTTGATTTATGGGTGATGGAATTATATTATTCTCGTACAAACCACGACAATAAGTATTTACATGCATTTCATACGCATACCCACCTTCTTGCTCCATCACTTATTCCCCAAGAAATGCGATCTTAGTCAAACAAACTAGTATGAAGCAATATGTAATAAAAGTCATTAGTTGAATATATTCAGAACCTAGGAATATTTCAAAAGTGGTTATAAGTAAGCCAATCACTATATTCAAGGATTAAATTTGGACTGAAATCTAAACTTGAATCTAGACAAGTGATGGGTACTTCTGAGTCTGGACAAATATACGAATATATTCAAAGTCTGAATAAATAACTGAGTATATTCTGAAGACAAAGTGAATACTTTCGAATCTGTGGAGGCAAAGCAAATCTGCAGAAGAATGCATCAGAACGGGAAGACTGATAACTCAGTAAGGCCCGCCAAAAAATTGATGACTGCAAAAGGCAGCCAGAGTATCCTACTCAATCATTCCTACAATCCATGTAGGCGCCGCTTTCTTTTAGGGTGGGTTATTTAATGAGTTCTCATCTATTCTTGATGTCGGCTTCCCTTCGGCCAGCCCTTGGTGTGTCCACGGTGAGGACAATTGCTTTAAAATCAGCTTTTTCAGCTCTCCTCACAAATTGTTCAACGACATTTCTGTCTTTTAATATCTAAATACATTTGGCAGTGCATCATCATAATTCCATTGATAAACATGGTTTCTCAAAGATATAATGAGAAAAGTTGCGCTCTCAAGATGTCGACAGATTTTCCGGGGCAAAACATTTTGAATCTGAAAAGTTCACGTATTATGACAATGCCGGCAAGAAATTGAACATTCTGAGCACATAATGACCAAGAAGGAAAGAGACAACAGTTTCCGCAAGCACATGACGAGCGGGAGCAGCATGAATAAAAACATATTACCTTCTAGATTAGGTTGTGCCTGGAGTAGGCAAATCATGTTTACACTTTACACCAATATAAATGACAAAGGCATTCAATAAAACTAAAAAACTGGCCAGCAGCAAAAAATAACAGACAAACAGCGCAAGATAAAGTGTGAAATTTCATCTGTTAAACTCACGTGAAGCTGGAAGAAGCGAATTCCAGGTCCTGTTGAGGCAACCCTCTCCACACTTGATGTAGCCCATGAGGATTGAGTCTGTAATGACAATCAATGAAAAAGGGAGGCGTATATACATGGCACTGACTGTTGAAAGAATGACTCCTTAAGGGGGAGTACAGATGGCACATTACCTTCATTGTCCCGACAGATAGCAACGCAATCAACAAAATTACAAAACATGAAAGTGGGTGAAGAAGCAAATTAAAAGTACCATAACCGTGTCTTCTACTGATGCCGCTCTAGCTGTTGCAAATTCTCCTGCAGAAAAGAAGCACACCGATTAAATAATTGCAGTTGTTAGTCATGAAAATGCCAAGATTAGGAAAACTGATTCGATAATCCATAAGTTCAAATTTCATTGAGCTAGTAGAAATCCCGCAGTAGTTTCTTCCATTTTTTTTTCTTGTTCATGTACCGTCATACATGCACAAGGTTGTCAAAGATGTTCAGGCAGACATTTCAGAAGAAAAGATTATCGTTTCCTAATGAACCAACAGTCTTCGCATCCATGTCAGGGTTTACCACTCATATTATCCTGTCTTGAAGGAAAGCGTAAGAAATTATCATTTTTAACCGCTATTCTGGGCAAAATTTAACTGTATCTCCTCACTTTCTGCCATGTGTTCTACCAGTCAGTCAGAAACAGGCATCTAAATTTCTACCTTTCGACGGATCGGTAATCACAGGGTGTACCATATTTTCCTCGTAATGAGTGAGAGGATGACAAGGAATCACGCTATTCAAAAACTGATGCAAGCGAAACCATGTAGGGAAATTTCACCATGTCAGAAATATCTTTTCCAACTTCCATGGGTTCCAAGATGAACTACACTGAAGCAGTTGCTACTTATTATCGTAATTAGTTAAGGGAATACTAAAAGTACCTTGTTATGTAGGTAATGGGAATTAGTCATGTGAAAATGAATACAAATTGCAAACAGCAGTTCATCATGTTATATGTGAAATCTTAATTACAAACTACAATTGTGGTATTATGCATCATCCACATACACTAGCGTAAAGTAGCCATTTGGAAGTTAAACACGAGCTCAGAATTGTAAGATACAATACAACAAATAGATAATTAATCTAAGATCATTATTAAATTTTAGTCGTCTACATTCTGTCATCAATTCTACTGGTGCACTCGTATAGATGAACACACATTTAAATGCATGCATATGCAGATTTGTTTAGATATATTTTTAGTGCGATACATCCACCAAGTCTCTTCGAGTTGAAGGTGGGATCTATGGAGACAGTGGCCGTAAGATCGTGTAAATACATAAATGTGTGTGCATCCCAACATAACTTTCATTATCAAGCCCTAGAAGAGTGACAGATGCATGTATGTACATATGCAGAGCACCCACAAAAAAAAATTAATGTATTGACATGGTAAGCATCAATCTCCTCAGGAAGAAGAAAGGAGCTAATGCAAGCATGGCTCCTTACCATCAGGATGAGCCATCTTTTGCGTTGCTATGGGAGCGATCATGATAGGCATTGAGATTTTGAAGCCCAAAGCTGTTGTCATCAAATCTATATGGCTCACATCTACAAGAATCCGAGGCCGAAGCCTATATAGTTAAACACCAGTCAAGATAAAAAGAATGTCAGTATTTGTCTCAGGGTCTCATAGATGACAAGAGCCCATGAAACCAATAATATCGCATGGATACTAGTTCATCAAATTTTGAATGGACACAAAACAAAGAAATCAGGAATGACGTGGGTTCAAATAAACCCAATAGTGAGAGATTTGCTTCCAAAATCTTTGAAAACGCATGTTGGTTTTCCTTGAGAGTCCACTGGTCTTCTGCACCAGATGCATAGTAGTCATACACCATCTTCGGCAGCTTCTTCTTTGCGATTTCCTCATACTCCATGACATTAGTGATCTGCATTTCCTCAGATTCCATCACTTTAGTGCTCTCCATCTTCTCAGCAGTATTTTTTCTGTTCTCATGGATTTGGAGAAAGTATTTCAGAACTAGTCCATCAGTCCAATATGATTTCAACACAAGCATTCATTAGTTAAACAATGCTGCCATTTAAAATACCAAACCGGTTCTTTCAGGAAAAATTTATAGAAATTCAGAATCTATGTTTGTGCCCACCCACAACTGTAATCAGCATATACAAACTAAAGGAACGACCGTAATATACTTGATGATCAGTACCAAACAAAAAGACTGACTGAGTCCCACGTGTGACATACAATGACATATCAAAATCATGGAAAACCGCTTCTTGTTTTATTCACCAAACGAGTGATTGTCAGAGATCTGCATTTTCAAGTAAAATCATCATATTTCGCCAGATATTAGCGCTGCCCCACCCCCCCCCCCTAACGAAAAAGAAAACTCAATTCTCTTTAGACACTCAGCTTTTGCACATTCAATCAACCGATGACAGTGTACCTATCCACAGTTTCACTTACTTAAAAAGTTTAAATAACATCCACATCATCAACACAGCCCACTTGGCGACGGTCATGCAATGATGCGATCAAAATGAAATGAAGTGAACGTCCTAGCAAACAGAGACGAACACTAACGACCGGCATCATCAAGTGCTTCTTCAGATCATAGGTTTTAGCAAACATATCAGCAAACAAGAGAACACCACCACTACAAAAAAACTGAATTTTTCCAAATTTTTCGTTGGAAATTTCGTCGGAAAAAACATGTTTTTTTGTAGTGCACGGCTAAATTGGAGAACCGAAGATCGAATTTGAGCGATCACGTGAAGAGAGACAGGAACAGTTCAGTTTCGCCATGGCAGGTGAGAGATAGAGCAAAATTTGAGCAGAATCAAACTTTGAAATGAAAAAGAAAGAGCGGAGCTAAAATCAGTAGAGAAGGGTAAGTTGAACAGACCTGGATGGAGTTTCTGAACTCAAGCGAAAGGGTGTTGACTGAGACTTCGGAGGAGCTCACGAGTAATGGACAGAGAGCGAGAGAGAGCGAGAGCTTGGCTCTGTTTACGACTTTACGTAGTCGAATCAAATAAAAGAAGGGGAGAGAGAGAGAGAGAGAGAGAGAGAGAGAGAGAGAGAGAGGTGTTTAAAACTCGGCTAAGAGACGAAAACGGTCAAGCATGACGAATCAGAGCGAGAAGTACCTGTCAAATTGGTAAAATAGTGATTTTTTGGCCAAAAAATTGAAAATAGTTGGAGATTTTCTAACGAAACTTCATAATTATTGGCAAAAGGAATGAAACTCCATGTTTGAAGATGCACTTTACTCTCTGAAATTGAGTCTTGTTACAGCAATTTTAACCCGTATTAAATAATCTTGTTCGCATGCGCTATTGTCAAAGTACGGAAAAAGTGCAATTTTTTCTTGAGATTTTTTTTTGATTAATATCACCAAGAAAATCCGAAACTGGTATATTTGTGACAAATTTACCTCAAACTAATTTTTTGACCACCAAGAACCCTAAATTAGTACATTTGTGATAAATTTACTCTCCGTTAGTTTTCGTTAAATGGGATTAATATCATGAAAAACCATAATCAGGTACATCTATGACAAACGGAGGATAAAACCTCAAACTGGACTATCATGTTTCATCCAACTCAGCAATTTGATGATAAAATTTAACGGAAACTAATAGAGGGTAAAATTTGTCACAGGTATACCGGTTTGAAGTTTTAAGCTATCAAAAAATTACTTTAGGATAAATTTGTCTCAGGTGTATCAATTTAGGATTTTTCATGGTACTAACCTTTTTTTTATTAGATTTTTTTTCTTTTTGAGAATTCAAGGAGCTGTTTATACACCCATTTAATTCAAGTGATCGAATTCTCTTCCAATAGAAAGCATTGATTCAGCATTTGGTAACATTACACCTCAATCTCTCCCCCCCCCCCCCCCCCCCTCTCTCTCCCTACAATTCTACTTTGCACATCACTCTTGTGCTGCATTTCCACGAAAAGTTAATTAAAATATCTCAAATATCTTCTTGAATCGTAATAATGCTAGGAAATCAACAAAAGTTTATATTCTCAAATTTGACATGTAAATCACTACTAATAAGACATGTCTTGTTGAGGATACAAAATATTTCAAAGGCGAAAAACAATTTTCCTCTATCGTGTAATGAATTGATTGGTTAGTTGATGATGTAATTTTGTTTATTCGAGTTGTTAGAAAATCGTTCACTCATGCTTTTGTCCATGGTTTTGGTGATATTGCCGAAGGTCCAAATTCAATTTCGATTTCTTCGCATTCAAATTAATTTTTCTTCGTGGAAAAAATTTATGAGGGCATGAAATAGCAAATTATGAGCAATCTTATTAATTTCTTTACAGTAGAACAGTAAAAAAAAAAATTTTAGTGTTGATCTTCCTTTTCCGTTTCTTCTTCTTTTAACCTTTTTTTAATCTTTATTTTCTTTAAGATTGGAAGGAACAAACAAAATAAATCCTGAAACGAGTTGCTAGCTAATAGCCTAAATGTACATTTGATGGATTTTCTTTGTTTTCGCTCTTTGGACGAAGAAGTAAATTGTTCTCTTCATGATAGGTGCAACAAAGAATACAAATAGAAAATATATATCTATTTGTAACAAAGTCTTCATTAAGGTTGCTCTAAGTATGCCACTAGGATTTTAGATAGCTAGAATTAAACTCTCCTTGTTGCCAAAAAAGGTTTTGGTAGTTTCTCTACAAAAGTAGTATAAACATATATGCCTAATTTATTCACACTCGTCCTCTCCTCTCTCTTCATTGCAAGAAAATGTTTAAGAACGGCACCAATTCCAACTCCACTCACATCGCGTTCTACTTCAAATACTTTTTCAAAATCTGGAAGAGTAAGGAGAGGAGACTCACAAAGATTTTGTTTGATGAGATCAAAGGCATTGTGGGCAATCTTGGTCCATTCAAAAGATCCATTCTTCATGCATTCGGTGATAGGAGCTATGATGGTGCTAAAGTTCTTCGCAAATTGCCGATAGAAAGAAGCGATACCATTAACACTCCTCAATGGACTTGGGAACTAGCCATATCTTTATCGCTTCCACCTTGGATTGATCAATGGATATTCCATCTTTTGAAACCACATACCCAGGGAATACGATGCTTGGAGAGAAGAACTGGCACCTTTCCATCTTAAGATAGAGCTTCTGCTTCCTTAAGACTTCAAAGACTTGTTTTAAGTGAGAATACACAAGAATATCATCAACATACAAAATGACAAAGTGTCCAATATAAGGACGAAGGACTTCATTCATAATCCTCATAAAGGTGCTCAGAGCATTGCAAAGTCTGAATGGCATAACTAACCACTCATAAAGGCTCCTTATTTTTTTAAAGGTCATCTTCCACTCGCCCCCCTCTCTCATCTTGATCTGATGATAACCACTTCTTAAATCTATCTTGGAAAATACAATAGAGCTATATAATTCATCAAGCATGTCATCAAGTCAAGGTATGGGGTAACTATACTTAATGGATGTGTTGTTGATGGTTCAGCTATCCATGCATATTCCGAAAGAACTATCCTTACATGAGCAAAATTGGAGCCGAACGCGGGCTCATGCTTTCCCTTACATATCCTCTGACAATCAACTCTTCCACCTACCTCTGTAACTCTTCGTTTTCCTCAAATTGCAGCGATGTGTGGCTTTATTAGGGAGGGAAGCACTAGGAAGTAAGTCAAATTGATGCTCAATTCCCCTCAAGGGTGGTAATTCATGTAGTAAATCCTCCATAAATATATCTTCAAATTCTCTCCCAAGGCATGCATTTTAGGGTGTAGGGGTCTCTCTATCTCACTTTTTTTGTTCTCAACCATAAGTAAGGCAAAAACAATCTTGTGCTTGTGTGTGGCCCTCTCAACCCGTATTTCACTCAAGAAAAGGCTTTCCTTACTTTTGTTTCCCACCCCAGGTTGATTTTTGTGGATCATGAAGGGGCTCAAAGGTGCAAGAGTGATGTATTTCTAATCCTTGTGAAACGAGTAAGTGTTTTTATAGCCATCATACACAGCTTGCCAATCAAATTGCCAATGCCACCCCAACAATAAATGGCATGCATCCATAGGAAAAACCATATAGGGTCTTGGTAACTTTTACCAATTCAAATTGACACGAGAGCTTGTTTAGTTAACTGAATATCGCTCCTCTTGCTAAGCTTGTATGGTTTGGGATGCTTAGAAGCTGGTAGCTTCAACTTCTCAATCAAAGTCACCACATTGGTGCAACTCTCCCCATCGATAATCAACTCACACAATTTTCCATTAATGGTGCAACGGGTTTGAAAGATGTTCTCCCTTTGCTCATCCACTTCCACAGCAACCATTGTGTGTAGAGCCCTCCGGATAACCAACAACTCACCATCATCAGTTTGTTCCACAACCTCATCTTGCTTGTCAGATTCGGAATCAATATGGTCAGAATCATGCTCGATCTCTTGAAGTTTCAGCTCGATCTTCTTAATTTCTTGAAGGGTCATAGCCCTCTGACTGGGGCAATCGACTTTGAAGTTCCCATAGCCGTGACACATTAAACATTTACGCCCATTGCCGTCGTTCTTTTTGGGAAGCTCAAACTCCATGGCTTTGTC